GAAGCATTGCAAATTGAATGTAACAATTGTACACAAGAAGGTAGTTTCTGCTTAAAATTATTAGCTAAAAATATCTATATTTTTATGAAAAAATATTTATTTTTTATGTTATAGATTTCAGTTTAATACCAACATCATTTGATTCAAAGGAGGATATGTTGAATGCAGCAGCTAGTTGTTATGGACGTTCTTTAGAATTAGAAACAAATGAAAAAAACAAAAATAATCTAAATAGAAGAATTGGTAATGTTTACAATGAAATCACATCAGGATACATAGATGAAATTGCAAGTAAGATTTTTCCCTAAACCTAAAATAATTGGTATTGATATCAATTTTACGAAATTTTTATAGCTGCTTTAAGAGATAAAATTGAGCTAACTCCTTCAAGATTACAATGGCTGCTAAAACAATCAAAATATTATTTATCCAAGGGAATAAATAAATTTGAAAGTACTGAAGATCTAATAAATCTCGCATTATTGTATTCAAATATGGGCCGATTGTATAGACATGTATCATACTATTCATCACAATACATGGTTTCTTTAGGAGAATTTTTAAAAAATGAGGAATTTACTAACAAGGTTAGCTATTGCTTTGAAATTGAAATCAAATATTTTAGTTGATTCAAGAGTATTGTAAACAATTTAATTTTTTTATACTAATATATTATTAGGCTGTAGAAAGCTATACAAAAAGTTTGACAGTGCTGGGTAGCCGTCGTTTTAATCCACAACTCTGGGATATGGTTTGCTGGGATTTATCAACAACCATTTATAATATAGCTATTCAATCTCAAGATGATCCATCTGCATTCAGTGTAAGTGTATAGAAGTCTGTTTAATTTAAAATTTTATTCGACTCTTAACAAAAATCATACAACCTTTAGGATAGGGCTGAAGCTGAGAAAGAAGTTATCAGTTTACTCTTAAAAGCTTTAAAATATTGTGATTTGGAAAATGATTCATCTAGAAAATTGTTGTACGAATTTCGAGCAGCATATATTCACGACCGATTGGCTTCTTTGTATCATCATCGTTTAAGGTAATAAGGGAATGTTGTTAAAGTATAATTATAGTTTTAATAATATAATTTATCGTATGTCATTATAAACACTAAGTCTATATTATTTATTTTTAATGATAAATTGTTATTTTGTATTAAATTTTTATTCTCAGTTTGTGACTACAAGTTCTTAATTTTTTTTATCAGGTGTTTGGAAGTGGATATTCCAAAATTTAAAAGTACCCTTCATCAGTGTACATCTCATTATAATCGTGCATATGAAATGTTTTTTAAAATGGATCGCCCATTGGAGTGTCTTGAAATACTCATAAAAAATATAGCTTTAGATGAGCTTCAATTTGATAGTATGTAAATGCCCTTTATTTCCCAATAATATGAATTAATTTAAATTATTATTATCACTTAGGTTCTACAAATTCTCAATCTAAAGTAAAATTTATCATGTCCATAATACAAACTTTGGGAAAATGTATTCCTATATTAAAAATGTTAGAAGAAAATAGTATTGAAGAGTACAAAGAAAAATATTCAGATGATCATAATGATAGTCTTGAAAAAACAGATCGGAGTAGTGAAGATGACCAAGATAGCGAAAAGAAAAAAAAGAAGTTATTAAAACTTTTAGAAGAAAGATTACAACATATATTAAAGTCTATGATTAAGCTGGCTATGGCAAAAACATCAAAGTAAGTGTGGTCTTTTATTAATTATAATGTATATTATTATTCAGTATTTTTTGGTTTATCCTGGGGTTTAACCAAAAATTTGGATTTTTTTTTAAGGGGAAGAAAATTTTTTTGTTTGTTTTATAACTTGAAAATGTTGTACATAATTTTCTTATCAGTCATATTTGTTCTTGTAGAAAATTTAAAATATTGAAAATATAGACAAAATTAATTTGATAAGAGTTATAAGCTAAATCGTTGACAAAATTTAATAAAAATGTAAATATTTTTAAATTATTTTATAAAATTCATAAAGTTTTGAAATTTAAATAAACGTCTTAGCTGTTCTTACAGTTATTAATAATTATTGATTAAATATAGGACACTTTTTTTTAAAAGGCATTTAAAATTTAAATTTTGACAAAATTAGAAATTTGAATGAATAGCCATATATTCCTATAAAGTTTTTACTAATCATGTTGTAATTTAAAAAAATTAATTGCTTTAACTTTTGCTATTAAATATATTTTATTATTTTGATGCACAACAAAATTTTCAAAATATATTATGTTATATTTAAATTATATGACATAATAATTAATATTTAATCACCTCTATGATAGTTAAGTTTTACCTACTTTTTTTACTATGTTACTTAAAAAAAAAAAAAATTACTTATGAAAATTTATATATATATATTATAAAGACTGATACCTCACTTGTGCTCTGAATTGTTTTTTAAATACAATGATTGATTATTGAATTTAAAGTTAACACATCAAGTACAGTGAATTATTCAATGACGAGGTATACTTGATACCTACTTTATAGCAAATTATAACCAATTCTTGGTATTTTAATAATTATTTTATCTAATTTAATAGTTGAAAATATCTAAGAGACTTGTTTCATAAATACTTGAAAAATTTCTAGTTCTGAGATTTTTTTTCAAAATTGTTATTGTTAATATTATAAAACCAGGTGTATAAATGTCTCATGGGGTTATAAAAAAAATGTCTTTTAAGCAGGATTGCATATTACAATTTATTGTTGTAGGAATTATTCTAACTTGAGAAATTGTAACATAATATAATATGCAATTGCCTAATAATGGGATATTTGTATTTTACTAAAGCTAGTTCACAGTTATTGTTGATTTAAAATTGTTGGATAAAATACAGACAATGGGATTTGACATGGTCTCCCTGCATTTCAATTCTTAGTTAAGTTGTGTATATGTAATAAAGGCTAATCATAATAAAAAAAAAAATTAGCCGGTTAATATTAAATTTACAAATACTAAATATTAGAAAATTATTTATATTAAGTGTGAGATAGGTTTAAGTCATTTTTTTATTTTACTAATGTATAAAAAAATGTGTAATATCAATAATTATAAATGTATTTGAACTTATTATAGGTTGGCCAATAAAACAAACGAATTAAAAATAATCTATGGTGAATTGCTGCGAAAAAATGTCGATGCTGATGATTTTTCACATTTACTTAGAGTCATTACACAGATATCAGAATTAAGTTTCTAAGTTTAATAATTGGGTTTAGAGGTTAAAAAAATATCATAACACTTGTGATATTAGCCATAATTACTATATTTGTTATTGTATATTACTTGTTTTATTTTTTATGCTCAACAATATTTAATTGTTGGATACTAAATGGTTATTATTTTTTATACTTTAAATATTAATTTTGTTTTTTTTTCAATACGGCAATACAGCCAAATTTGACTTAAAAAAAAAAAAAATCGAAATAAATAACTATTTAGTATGAACATTATGTAAAGTGATTGAAAACAAATTTTTGTAAGTGTTCAGCACATGTTTATTTATGTCAATGAGTTTTAAATTAAAAAATACACCAAAAATATTTTGTCTTATTTTCACTTTTAGATATATGTCCATTTTTTTTTTATTGACATCTATATAATGTGTATGATCACAATTGTTTAAAAAGAAAAAAAAATTGTACATCATTAAGTTAAATTGGGTTATATTGTTAATTAATTAATAATTTGTAATGATTTATATTTAAGTATTAAAGAGATATTAAAGTACATTTGAGGAATCTATAAACAATAGTTTTAAATTCTATTTACTTAAGGACATTTATTAATGACAGTAGCTGAATAATTGAGCTGTCAAAATATAGTTCTAAACTTAAATAGACTTGCGATCGATCTCAGAGCTTTTTTTTGTTGTCTCAATTGACCAAAAAAAAAAAAGGGTGTACAATAAACAAAAATATATCTCATGTATATTCGTGTTAGACTTTTTTTTATTTAAAATATAAATAAATAATAAAAACATTTAATTTCATAGTTTTACACAACATGTATTTTTATATATTTGATTACAAATTATTACTTTTAACTTATTATTATTTGTTTTCTGAAAAAATTCAAGAAAAGACGAAAGAGAATCACAATTAACATGTTGACCATCCTTGTTATAACTCATGTATAAGTGGGTAAGGACTAAGAATAGTCTTGCCAATTGTTATAATGGTATTTTGTTAATTTTGATAAATGTTTTTCGATGGAAATTTTGATGCAAAATGATATTTTGTTAGTTTTTTTTTTCAAAAATTTTCGGATAGTGAATCAATATAAAAAAGATTAACAACTTCGAGAAAAAGAGAGATTTAAATTTTTTTTTATTATAAAATACAAACAGTGACATTTTGTGAGAATTGTACAAATTGCAACATTAATGTGTTAACTATCAGAAAAGTGACGTAATGGAAAATGCAAATTGATTACCTGTCGTTTAGGCGCGGGCGAGAGAAAAATCGAAATGATCAACTTATAATTTTATTATGAACTACATAATAATGTCATCAAAAGCAGTCGTTGCAAGGCCGGTCGACAGAAGTCGTTGACATGGGTAATTATAATAATAATAATATGATATCAACAGCAAAACAACAAAGAAAACAAATTAATCGTAAACAAAGATAAATAAACAAAACGCGTACGCAATACAACGTAATATCATTATAATAATATTTAAATTAAAATAGCGTTATAAATTAAAATAACATATTATACTTAGGTATCTCGGGCTGGCAAGTCGTGATGATCTCAATAAAGAGCGACGGACGGCGGTGTTTGTTTATAAATTATAATATACCTAACGTAAATAATTTTACAACATTCGTATATTTTATAAGAAAATTTACTGTGTATAGGAACATGATCGTATTTTAAGCTTATTATTTTCACAATAAGGGTACTGCACACGCGGTTTTATATAATATTATTAATACGATTGAATGACTGGGAAAAAATAAATAGTAATAATACGACCAACAGAAAACGATAATAAATAATAAAAATAATAATAATATTAATAATAATAACTAGTAAAAACAACGAAGAAAGTCGGAGATCTCCTCAGGCTCACGGGGACACGTCTGCCTCTGCACTTTATCCATCAGTCGTCGTCTCGCGCCGGTGAAACTGGTTCGATTTTCAACGACAGCGGCGGCGGTGGAGTCGTCGTCGTCGTCGTCGTTGTCCCTGCGGCGGCGGCGGCGGCGGACATCAACAGCGCCGGATTGGTGACGGCGATTATATTGCCTCCGCTTGACGATATTATCTGCAAACCGGAAACGACGATGTTTATTGTTTTTATTCGGCGGAGGGCTTGTTTGGAACGTTTGGACAAATAAATCGGATTGCGAATTTTTCGTTTTTCACCTAGGTATCCACGTATGGGTTGGATTATAGTGCGTGAGAGCTAGTTTGTTTTATTTTTCTACCTCCCGCGTTGTTACCATCATCGTGGCGTAATAGCCATACTTACACCTAGAGTACTCGTATATTGAATTACCGAGTTTTCGTTTTACGTAATGCTCAGTAAAAACTATATTTTAACTTTCTCGTTTTATATTCTATAATTAATATTGATGTAACAGTAGGTACACGCGTGCGGGAGTCGGGAAAACTATTTACCTGTAGGTATATTATAATTTATAATTTGTACACACAGTATAGGGTCTCGTTAATTCCGAACGGGTGTGGGGAATAAGGGTCGTTTGGATTATCGATTTGTTCGGATTTGTGTATGACTACATAAAAAAAATTAATTTTATCACAATTAAAACTTGGAAATTAATTTTTATCTCTCATTGAAAAAGACAGAGAATACAATCACAAATACAATTATTATTTTTATATTTAATTACATACATATTCATTAAAAATATTCTTAATAATATTTATTATATTTTAATTATTGTTTATATACGGGTCCTTGAAAAAATGTTAAAGTATAGCATTAGTATATAAATTGTTTAATTGTGAATATTCTTTTAAAGAAAAAAAATATATGGTGATACATATGCGATAATTATCGCATCTTTCGAATTGACAAGATTTGACTGTAATATTATTATTTAAGGTAGTTACTAGTTTTTAAATTTGCTTATTTTTCAGTCATCTACTTAACTGATAAGTGATAAGTAAGGCTCGGAAAAACATCAAATAATAATGACATATGTCTTATTAACTATGATTCAATAAAATTAATAGTATAAACTTATAATTTTATTATTATGAAGTAATGCATTAATAAATATACGTGTGTATGCGTTTAAAAAGTACAAGTAATTTTAAAATTTAATTAAAATTGATTGAAATATATTTTCAGCTAGGAAATCATCGTCTAAGACGTTTCAAAAAGTAACCAATTTTCGAAAAGTGAAACTTTGGCTAAAACACTCTAATCTGCCTGTTTATGCGTGGTAATTATGTAATATGTTGTAATTTATTTATATATACTCCTGAGATTGGATAATTTTTTACCTGGATTTCGTCGTTGAAAAATCGATCAACTAGACGTCTGTTACCGTTAATGTGGGCTGAGGGACTGTGACTGTGATGGCGGCGGCGAGGTTCTCTGTCGTCTTCATCCGTGTCGTCTGTATCGCCGCGAGACAAGTTACTCTGAAAATAGAGAAGTCTGTTGAACGTACGAGAAATAAGAAGATAAACAATATTTTAGTTTGGTTAAAAATGTTTTTACAGCACACTACTGCAAAGATGTTAGTGTATACAGATAAAGGTACGTGTTTAGTTAATATTAAAATTAGTTAGAGTATTAAATTATTAGTTTATAGTTGTTATATTACATAAAGCTGCTGCCGTCCAAGCCACATGTAGGTTAGGTTATTCACGTTGATGTGTCCGAGAAATTTGTTATTTAAAACAATATAATACATACTATATTATTTACATACATACCTGGGATTCGGAAAAACACAAACAAAACAAAAGCAAAACAAGCTAAAACAAACATAAACTGAAAAGGTTTCGGTTAATAACGACGCACAAATATGAATCATGAATTAATAGTAAATTACATTAATGTACCTATATAATATATAATAATATAAGTATATACAAACATACATGCCTGGTAAATAAAAACACAAACTGCATACCTAATGGGATATTTACATAATATGCCTACAAAATAAATATTAAAAAAAAAAAAAAATATTAAAACAAATAAATGGCTCTAGCTACGTTTAAAATATACAACAGTAGTATGCATTTTTTTATTTTTGCTATAGTGTTATGCTGTTTAGAATCGAAAAGGATCATAACTTTAAATGGTTCATAAGAATTAATTTTAATTTTGAAGAATTTCGATACCTATTTATTTATTACAATAGATAATTTTTATTTTATATTTTCAATATTTTAACAATTGGGATAGGAACTACTTAAAACGTAAAAACGAAATAAGTATCAAGTGCGATTATAGTACAATAATTTATTAAGTCTTGAATGCGTGGGTGGTACTTTTATTTTCTAAACACTACTTTTCAAACTCATTATTTTTTCTGGAAATCGGTCTTCGATGTTACTAAGTTTAATATTATAACAGTACCTACTTCGTATTAATATTATAAATGAAATTGAAGTCAAACTTTTTATAATGTTAAATTGAATTGTTACATATTTCTCACATTCATATTTTTTTTTGTTGAAACTTTACTGAGAATTATATTTTCTTTTATTAAGTTAAAATGTTACAATATTTCACTAGAAAATGAAATATGTTCTATATTTTAAAAAACAAAAATATTTATTATTTTTTTGAAAATAAAATTTAAAGAAAAAATAAAATAGTTAAGTGGGTACCGCTCTTTTATAAATTAAGTGTCGAGATGATCACTATATTATGAATATGATAATTTCGAGTTTCATTGTAAACTAAAAATGATTCTGAGCGGAAACAATTGTCAGTCTTTATCACCAAGTATATTTCAGGATAATATGTTTTTTTTTTTTTTTATATTTCTAACTACAAAATAACTTGTATTTTTTGAGATTTTTAGCGATTTTGTCAAAATTCTAAATTTAAATGCGTGTAAAAAAATAATATGACTATTTATTTTTGATATTTTTTGATTGAGAAATAAATCATTTATTAGTAAATTAGTATTCAATTTTAAACATTTTTACCAATTCATAAATTTTTATTGATATTAAAAGAAAAAAAAAATCGAAAATTTCAATACCCTTTAAATAGCTCAAAAAATTTAACATATTTTGTAAATAGAAAATTATAATTTAAATACTTAATGAACATTTTAAGTTTTTATAGTCATTTGAGTTATGACAAAATAAATAAATCAATTTAGTCAATAACTGGTTTAACATAAAAATTGTCGTTTTTTCTTAAATTTTTATTTGTTTTTTTGATTATAAAAAAATTTAATTTTGATCTTTATTAAATACAAATTAGATCTAATTTTATATCTTAAACTACCCTTGAAGTTAAAAATTTAAGCATTTTATTAAAAAATGATCGAGATGCACTTATACACACACACAAAAAAAAAAAAAAAAAAACACATTATTGTAAAACCAATACATTCATCTTTCCGCTCAGAATCTAAAATACGATCAACAATATTCCTACTAAAACATGTAATTGTTTTAAGATATTTTTTAAATTAATGATTGCTCTTTTTTATCAAATTAAATTTTTGTTTTTAATATATTAATATTTGCATTCTTGTCAGTTGTGTTAAATATATATGTTTTTGTTAGCGAACCGTGAAAGTAAATAAATTAAAAATGTTCACAAGACACAAAATTCCTGACCAATTTATAAATCATGCGTTATTTAGCGCAATTCACACAATATTAAACATTAATAACTATGTTATTATGATGGTTTCGAATTTGCACATGGTGCGTATTTTTTCGAGACAATTGCACTAGATTTGTCCACCAACCAAATAACTTAAGATAGAATAACTATAGGTCTATTAAGTATTGTGTTAGTTTTGGGGTCGAAAAATCTCAAAGCGGATCGGTGCCGCAATTGTTACCACACTCGCCATCACCGCCGAGAACACGTTTTACCTGATTACCGGTATTCTGTGATGATTTTCCGTCATGCTGGTAGTCGACGTTGCAGCGAATCATCGAATCCCTCGAGTCACTAATGTCCTGAAATTCAGTTAAGAAATTTAGTTAAAAAAAAAAAGGAAAAAGTAAGAAAATGGAAAAATATAGTAGGACATAGAATATTAAACAAAAACTCAAATCATATTATTGAGCACATCCCTGACTGTGGAAAGTCGAGTTAGAGCACGTGAATATAGAAAGACACGACAGACCCGATTGTTAATTTGTTATTATTTTCTCTTTCAATGCGGTTATGTTCTTAAAAAGCGAACCGCACCTGTAAAGGAGAACTAGTATTGCTGTACGACATTTGAGAGTCTGTGTCGTCCGTGTCGAAACCGGCTGATGATGACGTCCTTCCGCCGCTCCTGTCCCTTAGCATCATCGACCTGCGTGTATCAGACGTTCCGCGTTAATGTTTAGTTTTACTGAATTTTTAACTTTAAATCAAATTTGACGCGAATTACTTATTTTGCCGCAGGTCGTTCTGTTCCACTAACAGCTGCGCTTGACGATTTTTCAGAGTTTCCAACTGTTGTTGGACTGTTGGGTCATCTTTGGTACTTTGGTTCAACTCTTCTCGGCGATCGTTGACTGCTTTCAGTTCGTCAGCGATCTGATCTAAACGTTCCTGCGAAAATAACATGCCCAACTATTATCTAACATAGTTAGGTACCTATTATGTAGATTGTAGATTACCGCGTTTATCGAATTAAACTAGTGATCTTAGAATATAAATTAAAAAGATAAAATGATCAATTGGTATCGACATCGCATAATAATAAATAGTAGCTAATAATTAGAATTATATCATTATATTTTATACTCGATAAAATATATAATATAAACGGCGCATATTGTATCAATTTGATGGATATTCAATGTCATATTAACAATATTTAAGTGTAAAATAATAAAAATAATACATAGTTCACCACAATTTTGTACAAATAATGGTGTACGTATATCATTGTCCTTTCATAATATTTTAATTGCTCAATTTATATCTATCTTTTAAGTAGGTGTTGATATTTTAGTCCGAGAGTTGTTAACAGCATACGTTTATTACCTGTCGCCGAATTTTTAATAGCTCATCGTGATCGTCTAGACGGGGTCTCTTCGACTCGTAACTACAGTCGCCGTTCGAAGTCAATCCTCTGAAACTCTGCATGCTTGACCTGTTATGATTTTAAGATTTTTAATAAGGCAACAATCAAATTTATCGAGATTTGCATTAAATGACATTGGTTTTATTACGAACGATTAAGTGGAATTTGATGAGATATAAAGATATGAAATAATAATGGAGTAATATATTTATTTTCTTATTAACTTATTATTTAGATAAAATTGATTTACTTTGAATGTCCTTTAGAGTAATGATATCCCGAGTCACGGACCACTTGTCGGGCTAAAGGGAACAGTTCGTCTCGTCTAGTCAACAGAACAGGCACTAATTTGCATATCTGTGCGGCAGCTTCGTTTACGGACACCTGTGGGTTTGTAAACATCGTTTTTAAATTCATGTGAAAAAGGTGCATTTTAATGTATTTTTATTATCACGATTTTTTTTTTAAACATTAAAGTTCTGTTTTATTGTTCGATGTCGATATTCACTAGCCAATAACGCTTTATGATTAATATGTTTCTATAGATATCCAAAGTGTATAATATTAATACTTAGACAGTTTATTTACCTCGTGCAATGTCAAAGGTTTTTCTGGTTTTCTTTTGCAATCAAATCGCCCATAAATAGCCGAATACTTCCTTATGGATTCTATGCGTCTTGGATCTTCTTCTGGCATATTCATGATGCACTGTAAAACCATAGTATACTATAAAATACAATGTATGTACAGATCAATGACAACTATAATAATCTATGTTTCGTGCCGTATTGATTCGTAGTGTAAATTTATTCTTAATTAAGATTAATTAGAGTCAGTGATCAATATAATATCGATTTTAACAGCAAAAAATAACATCAAACAGCTAAGTTTTATTAAAACAGTTATTTATATAATTATTTAGGTATGATGTCTCAAGCATCAATTATTTAAAATATCATGTTAAAATTCGAGGTTCCATCGTTAGTATTGGTTAATATCGTAAATCATTGCATTTAGATTTTAAGCTCTTTTATTTTAACCCTTTTCAAAGTTATTCGTTTTTATAATGCTTATAATACGGTCTAGATAAAAAGTAAAAATCTGCAGTGCTATATTTATGTAAAGCGAAATTTTAAAAATAAGAACATTTTATAAATACTGGAATAGATGTCATTAAACTTTGTAAGTCTGATATATTTTCTAATATGTATAAATTATAAAAATATTTTTCTCAGATTCTATGTTAACGGTAACACTTAAACGAATTTTTTTATGATTTAAAAGGTTGAAAACCTGTTTTAAAAATTTCATGAATGAAGTAAATATTAGTTGTTCAGGTATAATGTGTACAAAAAAAATATTAATAATGTTAGACGAAATTTTTAGTGAGTCAGTAAATGGATAAATTATTATAAATTATTACAGTTTTACCTTATTTCCTTTAGTTTAAAAAGTGTTTTACTGATTGCAGTAAAAATGATACATTATGATAATATGCTATAAGTTGTTAACTAAATATGTTTATTTTGTGTCTTGTACTTGTTCAAAACAACAGTTCGTTTGTATTGTATTATGTGTTATATAAATCATATATTAATACGCCATTGGTTACTTTTCCGTATAGAATCGCTTAATAACTTCACTATTTCTCTCCTGTAAGAAAATCCTCTGTACGTCTATGTATGAACTCATGCTTACTTCGAGTTCTTTATTCGCCTTCCGTTTCGCTGTTTGTGCCTTGGGTTGATATTGTGGTAGCCTTTGCACTAGTTGCTTAGCTGACGTAGCTAACCGGGCGATTTGTGATTCGTCCAGTGATGGAGATAATTGCAACGGCGAACCTGGGCTTTGACCAGGACTATTACTATCTCCATAGTGTTGACCAGCCGAAGTTGTTGCTTCACTCGTTTGCGCAACCTGAAAAACACACGTGTGCAGTATGGACCACTCGTTATAATGAAATATTTCTTAAGTCTAGATAAATATATTTACAAATAATTTTTAATCTATATAGTGTATATTAATATTATTATATATTTGATAAATAAAAAACAGTGATAAATAAATTGAATTATTAATTTTAGATTCTGAGCGAAGCAATTTATCTATTTTACAATGATATATAATTATATAATATTATAATATATTCAATTTTTGTCAATATCTGAATTTCAGACGCTCATATAAATATACGTGGTTTTACGTTGATTTGGTTTTATATTTTGATAACAAATGTAAAAAGAATAATTATGTATTACATTTTTAGGAATTAAAAAAAAAGTAAATTATTCATGAAATATTCAATAATTTTTTGATTAATATTAGTTTTTGGTTAATAGTAAAGTAAATTACTTTAATAGCAATATCAAATGATTTTATGTGAAATATATTTAATGATTAGGGTTTGGATTTAAAGGCAATATAACTAACAAAAAAAGTATTTATAAAATTTAAAAAAGGCAAAAAAAAGGATTTAAATTATGAAAAAAAGTTAATATAAAATTTATAAAAATTAAATAATTTGTATATTGTATATTTTAACTAGTTTTTATTAAAAAGAAAATTGTGGACTGACTAATAATTTTTGAATCTAATATCTATGCATTATAAACATATTTTAATCTATAGATACGTAGTATGGGTATTTTTATAAACGTTGAATAACTGGCAATACCAAATATTCAGCAATGCCGATAAATATCGCAAATAATAGAACCCATTAAAAATAATTGACAAACGACAATTTACTGTCTTCAGAAGATGTATTTTGTGTATAAAATTATCAAATACATTGAAAATTAAACACTAAAATAGAATTTATAAATCAAAAATGTACTTCTAAGTAAAACAGCCAAAAAAGGCATTTATAAGTAAAAAAGGAAAAAAAACTTATCCATCGTCTTAAATATTAAATGACACATTTTTATGTCAAAATTATTTTTCTATTATTATTATTATTATTATTAAAAAAAGGTTTTTGTCTTCAAATTTGAACCCTATTAATGATCTATGCTGATTTCTAGCAGGATGTCTCTACTAAAGACCGTTATTTCGTATAAAAATAATGATATATTATTGAATTAAAATTTAATATTTCCATTAACAGTGATCCATTTAACATATACTATACAGCAGAGTGGTATACCCAATTGTCCTCATTTTTTTTTGTTGTTTTGTTTTTCTGATTATTTTGAAAAGTGTTATGCTTTTTTTTACCTTTTCTCAAAGATCGAATTTAATTATATTTGCTACTGGAAATAACTCTTAAAGTTGATAATTGAAGCATTTTTCTATTTCAAAAGGTCAGATGACGGGCACAAAAGAAAAAAAAATAACGAAAACCATACACTATTGTAAAATATGTAATCATATAACTTCACTCAAAATCTAAAATAATGATTTAAAAATGTATATTTATGTATTTGTTTAGATTTCAATCTCGTATTTCCGTCTTTAATTATATGTAATTTAACGGTGTGCTTGTAATTTTTGTGTAATAATTTATATTACTTCAGATATCTAATAATAATATTTACCTGTGGTAGTTGGTTGGTTGAGCTGGGCACGTGCGATGGTGACGTGGGCGGCTGATAACCGTATCCCAGTGGTGTGTAGTAACCGTGATGTATGGATGTCTGAATTAGTGGGTTTGGACAGACGTTGAGAAACGGTCGGACCGGATTTGGTGGTAGGACGATCGCACTAGGACCACCACCTGCGACAGGAGACGTCAGTGGCGTTTGGAACATGGCTGTGGACAAAATTCAAGATCGAGATGACAGGAGTTTTTTGAATAATAACCATGGTTTGAAAAGGAATATTTTGAGTGTTTAAATTTGATATACACAGACCATCGTATACGATGATAATTCACTACAATTTACAATTCATTATGTTATATATACCAGCTGTCGAATATCGTGACGTGTACAACAATATTGTAGTTACAGAAACTGTAGCGATTCAATTATTGTAATATTACAACATAAAGGTACATAAGAAAAGCGGACTGTTATTAGTTATTACACTCATATTAATCACACTATACTTATATACATAGGTTAGCTTAGCTTATGGTAATGTGTCCTATCCAAATAAACTGAAATCATTTATTGCGCATATATAGATGTACAATATTAAGTCATTATATAATTTAGATTATTGAGACTTAGAATAAGACAACTATTTATATAAATATAACCAAGACAATAAATTAAGTACATATAGGTGTTGTATGCACAATTACAAACGTAACCGATGATTATTGTTATGATTTATAATATGTCGTCTTACATATTATTAAAATGTTAAAAACATCTAACAGTGATAAATTCTAAAGATTTACGTTTCGCGCATGTAAGTACTTTTATAGTTATCTATTTTAAACTGTAATACATATATATATTATATATATATGTGTGTTCAGTAAAATTATTTGAATATTAATTTTTACGAATTCAAACGAATAAAAATTAGTCTTTGACTCGTGACTGTAAAACATAATATTTTATTTTTAAATAAGTGGATTTTTGAATTTTTTTTACATTTTACGTCAATTACAGCCATATTATTTAGATTTTAGACTCATGCACGCATTGTATCATTCATAATGTATAATTATTTTTTTCCTTACTGTGTTGTTATGTTATTAACTAATAACATTTTTACACATAAATAATTATTTATGTATACGAGTATTATTGAGAACTCTTGTTTTCTTTACAAGCTTTTATTGAATTTAATGTTTATTATAATATTTGATTATTATTATTATAATTTATTTTAAAAACGAAATAATAAATTAATGATAATAATAAAGAGTTATACATGCAACTTTCAAATTAAGAGTTAAAATATTTAGTTTAATTTAATAGGTACTATAATGTTTGATAATTTTTTTTTTACTAAGATGTCGAAGTTTATGAAGAGACCTAACCTGATTAACTAATCTATTCTATATCAACTAAATTCTTTATTTTATGTAAAATGAAATACAAATTTTATATTATCTTTTCTAGTTTTTAGATTTTGGGATGTTTTCTTCAAACGAATTATTGATGGTTCCTAAACTGAAAAACTCTCATTCCCAGAATTATGTACTTTATTCGCTGGGTTATCTGAAAACCCCTCAACACATTGCAGCTGCGACAGAAAAATTGATCGAGCAAACTTTTTTTTGTCTTTTCCTCTCTCTCTTATTCACTCACTTCGCCACTCACTCTTACACTCTGTCTCTTTCTATCTTTTCCACTCCCCCATTCTCTTACGTTTTCTCTCTTCCCTCTTCGACGACGTTATTCCACAAATAACAAGAGGTAGGACTGGGTAGAGGTTTTATGATTCGGTTCTTTTTTTGCTCCTTTTTTTTTGCTTCTTTTATTTTTATTTTTATTTTTTCCTCTCTCTCTCTCTCTCTCTCTCTCTCTCTCTCTTTCTCTCTCTCACTCTGAGCGATTTCTCTTGTAAAGAGAAAAAAAGGGGTAGAAAAAAAAACCTGCAGACTGCTATATATGTATATATACATTGCACACACAAACACATATACACACTCGAATACATATATATAGGTGATCCCGTTGAAAATTTACACCACAAAATGTTCAGGACGTCGGTTAGGGGACGGGAGAAGCTTTTGGAAAAAGTCATATATAATTTTTTTTCATTGCAAAAGGTTTTCCCTCTTGGATTTTAACTTTTAATGTTCGTTCTAGATTTCGTGGACAGGGCACAATAGATGCAAAACAAAAATTTCTAAAGAATTCTGTCCATTTTTAACATTATTATTATTTATTAAACATTTTAGAATTTTTAGCTGTCTATATATTTTATAAATATATTTTAGAATAAATTCCAACAAACATATACTATTTAGGAATTGTTAACTACAATTAACAAATTCAAGACGAAAAAAATAATAATAAAACAATTATTAAGTAAATTACCTAATAACTCTCAATTAGTCTATCATTATCCTTATAAGTATCTATATATTATTGATCAATTAGAAACTACTGTAATAAAAAATTATGTTAATACTATTAAATAATAAATGTTAATATATGATCATGGTAAAAATCTAGTCTATAAAAGTATTCTGTACATTAATTCTTATAAAATATATAATAAAACATATAATGTTTAAAATACAAAATATTAATTCGGCTACTAATTACCTCTGTAGAATTATTGCAGAGTTATAGTTGGAAAAAATATATTTTACTTATATAAGTTAAACTTGGAACAAATACTAAAACTGGAATTGCTACTAAAACCATACTATATTATTTTCAAAAGTGTTTAAAAATTTATTGAATAATGAAACAGAAAATAATTTTATTAGTAGGTAATTTAAGTTACACCTATATACAACTTGCACATTTCATTATTAAAATTAGATTCTAGTAGGATGAATTTATATCTATACGCAATTATTAATCAACTAAAAATCAGTAAGTACAATATATATTTCATACCTTTTTTGTCAATAACTTACATTGCACCTTAAGAAAAATAATACAATGGTAAACATCACATTTTCATTACACCTATATTGTAATACACGCATGTACTTATGTTATTTGTATTATATACGTATTATAGTATATATATATATAAGCATATTCCTACTGTATGCATACAAACTGAGAAACTACATGCTGTACTAATCATAATAATAACAAAAGGAATGACTGGTGTATAGAAAGGGTTAAATAATAATAATAATAATAATAATAAACCCGGTGGCTCACCAACTGCTCTTACTGCTGTTTGGAACCTTATTCATTGTCATTCACTCATGTACATTTGAGAATATTATTATTATTAGTTTCATTAGAATTCGACCTACATGTATATGCCTATTAAAGGATTATCATTAACTACCTACTGCTGTAATGACCCAACGACATTTGGTCAACGGGCCCAAAACACCGTTTGTTGGTAATAATGCATTTATAAATTCGACCCAGAATAATGATCAATCAAATTTACTTCCAAATAATCATGATATACGTGTTTTTAAAACATAATATAATAATAGAATACAATTTACAAATATATACAAAATAATATCTATTACTGACCTACCTTACACTAAATTTGTTTCTATCATATTTTATATTTATTAGTAGCATATTTGTTTTATTATGCAAATTTTTATTATCAACTAAATTATTAATTTAAGAGGAAATACTTACTCGGGTTGCTGACCCACTCGTGCAAAGCTTTCTGCAATCGTCTAACGTGCAGTGGCTTTGACGCCATTCCGACCAGAGCCATTATCTCAAGAAATTCTTCTTCGCCAGCATCACAAAGCTGTTGCAAGTCATCGCCTCCTGTTCATTAAGTTGAGAATATAATATAATGGTATAGTAATAACTAATAACAGTAAATATATATTAATACTTTCTGTTTATAATTATATTCTTTGATAATAAAACATATGCACTTTTCAATATTTTTCGTGTGTTTTTATCTCATGTTAATTATTAAAATTATTAAATAATTAATTGTATTATTATTTATAATTATGTCAGTACAGGTTACAACAAATTCTACATGACAAGTTTTATTGATTTTAAAATATTTGTATTATCCTTCGTGCATAGATAAATTATAGAAATAAAATTAAAATTTAAGATCATTATCTTTTCAGGCTAAAAGGTTTAATGTAAAATAAAGTGACTTTCATTAAAATATATATATATATATATATCAAATCGATAAGTATAAAACAAACAGTATAACCGTAACTTTATATATATTTATTTATTTATAAAGAATAAATAGGTATACAATGATCAAATTAACTAATTTTATCTCTGTTTATTTAATTTTAAGTGTATTTTTTGTCGAGAATAATTTTAAATTAATTGAATCTTAAAATATCAAAAATTATAGTATTCTTTTTCATTAGTCATATAGGATATTTATTTTGTTAGTTGGGTGAAGAAAAATTCACTATATAGTAACTCGGAGGTGAATTTTATCAATATTAAAATATTCCATTATTTAATTTAAAATATTCAATTCCAAAACGTAAACAATAATTATTTTAATGAACGCATCTTATGCTAATAACATATTGGATTAATATCTAAAATTATTTTAAATATATTTTAGTAAGTACTTTTCAAATCAAGAAAAATATCGTATTAAGTATTAACGATATTAATGGATTATTTAAGTAAAAATATAATATATTAATTCAAATTAATTTACATTTTTTTTATCAAACTTCATTATTATATTCATATTTTTATAGAATGGTCTTAAGTATGTATAAAATTTTAACCCTTTATTTAAGTCCGTTAGTAATTTCTGTAAGCACGTTATAAAAAATGAAATAATGGTAAATAGTTTAAATTTTATAGTTTATGTCTACTTTGCATAAAATTGATTATTTTTTTTCGATGTATGATTTTTTTATATTAATAGTGTTAATGTATCTGTCTTACCCATTTCAAGTAGTGTATCATAATACGCTAAAAGACTAGCTCTCTGCATTACCCTGTACAATTGTAATTCAGCTTCGTTACTCGGACTAGACGTCATGATCACTGCAATACAATACAATTTTCACGGTAAGTAATAAGTATAATTAATATTTTAAAACCATATTAGAAATATCTAAGTTAAGAATAAGTTTTTAAAGGGTGTTGCATATGTATATTGTATATTATATTATTAATATCATAAAAACCCACGCTGATTCGTATTTTTAACCTTTTACAATAGACCTTAACCTTTACATATATTTTTCATTTGACGGGGGCAGTGGCGAAAATACTATTATTATTGTTATATTGGGTATAGGTATAGTAGTGATAGCGTTTAGAATTCGGGTCAACGATAATAAATGTGTCTGCTATTCCACCCCCATCTCTTTGTTGCTGAAGGGTAATATTTTTATTTTATAATATATAACATATTATAGTGTTTTCCTTCATTCTTGTGACCAATATTTTATATTTTGCGACTTTGTAGAAGTTTTCTTCCTTTATAATATATGGGTGGCATACTGGTATAGCCCCTTTATCTATATATTCGGATCTACTGAATTACATATGAATATATGATATGTGAAGAGAATAATGGCTTAGTGCCCTATCCGCCTTGTTGTTGAAGAGAAGAAATAGATGGTTTTTTTCAATCGCCTTGTAATATTATATTGAATTGGCGTCTCATTGTCGTTGCAGTTGCATCGAGATTCGAGAACTGCAGTTGACGGCGCCATATTGACTATACGTCGTGGTTTGTTGAGAAAAACTTTATGATTTTTGTAGTTTGTTAAAATAAATTGCTAAACTGTTTATAGATTATTTATGTAATTATACGATGCATTTATTAGAATTACTTAAACTTGTTAGTAGTTTTCAGTTAAAGAGTTCTAAATTTTACTAAATCTATGCAAACACTGCTGCAGTATTTCGAATTATGGTAAATAAATTAATAATTACTTCAATATAATTATATTATTTCTGTAGTTTGTTATAGATAAAAATGATAGTTATTAAATTATTATAATGTTGTGGTATACACATAAGCTTATACATTACCCGGAACGAGTGCGTATATTTATTCAGCACTTACTGGTTAAAAAATTGAATTAATGAAAATATAGTAATTAATACTTTAGATTAAAGAAAAAAAAAATACTAATTTTAAGTAAATACACTTAAATAATAAATTACTTTTATTTTTCAACAAATCATAATAATTGTTATTTAGTGTAATAACAATATTTTCTCAATCCCTCGCAGTTATACTCGTAAGTTATAACCATATGTATGATTAACCGACGGTGGTCGTCTAATATTATTTATTATTATTTATGTTATTAACATTTTTTTTTTTTTTTAAGGGTTGATGGTCAGAATAATTTAAGGTGGGGATACCTTCTGTTTATTAACCAGAGGTTCTATAGTATACTCGTACACTACAGTGTTGTTCTAACGACTTCCTGAGCTATAAAGTGACCCGGGGCCGTTTAGTTCGTTGTAATTATTGCACAACGTACATCGGACAGCAGCTGAGGGTTGAACTCGTTTTCAAGGCTACCAGCACCACGGGATGTCCATTATTGTAGTAACAAGAAAAAAAAATAAGATAAAAACAACATAGGTCAATAATATTGACCTTTAATAATATTTTAAAGACGGCATATCGATGATTACTTATAGGTATTGACAAGTTCGTTTTATTAGTGCTCAATATACGACATTTAAAATGAATTATTATTTTATTTTTACATTTTCTGATATTACAACTTGAGTTCTGCACAGAAAAGTGATTTTTTGATGTAATAAATAAACAATAATGCAGTTATAAGTATTCAGTGTTTCATCAATTTCAATATTGTATTTAACCCTTTAAAACTAAAAATAATTTGGTTTTAACTTTTTTTATCCATGATATGTTTTAAATTTATAAAATTATTATAGTAAACCAAAATAATAATAAATAAATTAAGGATAGAAAAAATTAATAATTTAGAAATATATATCAATATTGAGTAACTCAAATTATGTTTTGTTTTAACTGTGCCAACATTATAAAGATTTTTTAATACTATTTAATCTCAAATATGATTTATTTGTTATACGTAAATAAAATTTAATATACCTATCCAATAATGTGTGGTTGTGCTGTATAAACCATAAAATGTTACGCGCGATGGATTTTTTCTACCTAGGTATGTAGTAGACGTGTTGACTGGGATTTAAATAAAGAACAAAATCATCGAAGAAATCGGTTTGAATGCTTAACGGCAGATGTGGCCCGTACAATGGACGTAACAGTAAGTAAAAAAAAAAATTATGTGAAAAAAAAATTGAACCAGAATCTTCTAGTAGATAAAAAAAGATGGATATGTACACATCAATTATAATTATATATAGGGTCCGTCCATCTGTCTTTGGGTAGTCCATCTATGTAAATGAACCTTTTGTACAGCCCCAGGGTCAAATATAGGTATGATTTGTTAACTGATCAAACACGTACACAATACACATATGTAATATTATACATAATATAATATGTGCTATATGTACGTGAACGTTGTGGGAGATATGAGGTCAACGATCTGGTTAAAATAACAAAACACCTTTTCACGTCGTATAACTGATCATATTTTGATAAGAGTCATGTTATGATGGTGTCTAATATTTATTTTTTTATGGTATGATGTATGGAATTCATAAGACCTTAGACAAAATATCAATAAACAAGGTTGTAATAAGTGATTTAATGACCAACGACACAAATTTATAGGTATATAGGTTAGGGTTTATATGAATAAGAGATCTTGGGAATAAAACGTATAAGTATATATATAGGTGATTAATGAACATAAGATTCGATTTAAAATTTAAAAAATAGATGCATTCCTTTATAAAATATTTTTTTACACATCAACAGATTTTTCTATGTAAGTGTAACAGTTTCATGTTAAACTTAGATGAAAACAAAAATATTGAGAGTTATTAATTATATTAGTTTTAGATCTTCATAGTATAAACCAATTATAATATGTATTTTAAAGTTAAACTTTATTAATTGTTATTAAAAATAAAAAATTGAATTTGATAAAAATCATACTTATTTTATTAAATCATATTATTCGAAGTCCAATATTATAAAATATAAATTTATGTTATTCATTGCATAAATGCAAATGGAAAATTAAAAATAATAAATAATGAATTTATTTTCAATTTTTATAAAAACAATGTATATTATTGTTTTTAAAATTTAGATTTGGAACTATATAAATTTACATACAATATATGTATAATTTAGATAACTTATTATTTATTTAATTAAGTGATTTGGTTATTTTTTTATAGTTTATAAATTTTAACTAATTAATTGTATTAATTTTTGAAACAATTTTAATTCATAAGATAAAAGCAATTTTAGATTATTATTTAGAGTATTAATTGAAAATATATTGTAATTATAAATAGTTTTTACGAAAAAAAAAAAAAATATTGACCTAAGTATTATTATCTATTACTTTTCTGCTTTTTATTATTTAATCAGTAAAATGCCTAAAAGTGTGTATTATATTGTAAAAAAGCTATGAGTATAAAATTTTTCTCACGAAATTAAAATCACGAGGGGTTATATATTTATTTTTGTTTTCGAAATAAAAAAATGTAATTGTGTACGACGTTATAAGATAAACTTAACAAAAATATGGAATTATAAGTAATTTGGAAGTGTAAATATATTAAATTATATTACACGTGAATAAAATGAGGTTCAACTTCCAACTTCAATGTTTTTTTTTTCATTTTAAAACCTTCTTTGAGTCTTATGCTGATGACGATCGAGAAAAAAATGGACAGTAAAAAAAAAATAAATTATAAAAAACACCAGAGAATGTGAACCCTTCAGGCAGAACCGGTGGTTCTTTTTGTTTTGTTTTGTTGTTTTTTTTTTAGAACCGAGGCCATTAACATTATTTTTTTTTTGTCTTTTTAAAGTCCAAGAATGTCTTTATGCATGGGAAACAGTAAAAAAAAAAAAACAGTACCATAGACGGCACATAAAAAAAAATAATCAATACACCTAGAGTTCTAAGAATAAAAAAAAAATTGATAAAATTAAATGGGGTCTGGGTACCTCGCGTGGTATATTCTGGTGAATGATAATGAGTTTTAATAAATTGGTACCAGCTGTTTTGATGATTAGTATTTTTTCGTTTGAGTAAAATTGGGATTAAAGTTGAAACTTCTATAATAAAAATGTCGTAAATTATTTATCATAAAAAATAAATATATCAAATTAAAATTTATAAACAATAATAATAACAGAAATTAATTAAATAATTTTTTTTTATTTATATATATTTAAAGAGAAAATGCTTTTTAATACAAACATAATCATGACACGATGCATGTTAAAGAATTAACAGATAAATTTGAAATGTATTTTTTATAAATTATCATAATTATTAATAACATAACTGAAATGGTATACATTATACTCTATATAAAAAATAAATAACAAATTATATTAATATTTACTCCAATTGCAGATTTGAATTGTTGAATCTCAGTTCAATTTAACTTATGCAGTAATAATTATCATGTAACTTATGTTAAATTATTAAACTACCTATCATATTAGAACCTAAAAATTAATTGAACATTTATTTTATCAAAAAATAAATTTAAGATAACTTATTTAATAATAGAAAAAATATTAAAATGCTTAGGCGATACACATGATAAACAGTGGATGATTTATAATATAACGTGTACTTTTGTCAAAATGCATTTATTGCTTGAAAATAAGTTAATAAATTATTATTAATTAATAGATTGAAAAAAAGCGATTGAATGTGAAGTTGTTGATAGAATGACAGCATATTATAATAGTCATATATTAAATCAATAAAAAATACTTAAATAAAGTTAATTATACTTTTTGAACAAGAAAATGTACTTAAAAATATAATTTATTTTTTTGTCTAAGTATTTTTTATTTTTTATTTAATATGACTTTTATATGCTGTCATACTATCAAAAATTTCATATTCATTGGATTTCTT